TATTTACTGTTCTATGTTTTAGGAAAAATAATTTTAAGAACTTATTTCAAAATAGGAATAATCTATATATATATGTATAATAATTGAAATGTGACTGTAGTTTACAAAATACTAGTCAACTAAAACACAGTCAAGACAAGTTACTTTGTACAGACCAAAGGTCTTTTTTATGTAATTTGATACGGTAACATGAGTGCACATGAGCCATGTCATTGTAACTTCTGTATTGTTAGCCAGTCATGGGTGAAGTGTCAATATAAAAAATAAATAAATATATAATGTATAATCTTATGAGATTTAAGTTATTTAGTTTAAACATTTATGTTTTTGTGTTATAATTTGTGTTCATTCTAGAATGAAAGATGCATAATTTATGTGTATTTCCTAATTGTTATGGTGGTTGCGAGATCAGTCAAATTTACCGAACCCGTACAGAGATTAATTACTGAAAATAACAAATAAAATATTAACTTTTTTCTTATTTTCTTAAGAAACATTTGAGAACTATTTGGACATTATAAAGATTTCGCATGTGAAATTTTGAAATTTTCTGATGTATGAAAATATTTTTAATGTTAAGATGAAAATTACTTTGAATGATAGATAGGCAAGTTGTGAAAAAAAAAAGGCATGAGAGAAACATTGCTTTACAAACCTTACGGCTTAATAAAAAAATCAGACATTTTGCGTATGAAAGCATTCTAATGTTTACTGATAAACTGCCAAATTTTGTTAACATTCGCTAACTATTTTAAAAGTTATAGCATGAAAACTATAACAAGCACAAAATGGTTGATTCCATGGACCGAACTCGGGCTAAAAGAGTTAATCCTAGGTATTTTAGATTTTAAAAAATGAAATGTGATTTGCCAAAAATATTTTACATAATCTAAGTTATCGGAAAACAGTATTCCTGCCTCTGACTCTGGGATTTCACACATCATGTGAATGTGTGAAAACTGTTCCTACCCCGTCTGAGTATATATTTGAATCTTGTGTATACATTGTGTTGTCTTTCAAGGTTCTTACTTTAAAATGATATATTTTGTACTCAGAAATGATATACCTGTGTTTTGAACTTTACAGGCAGGGAATTATGTTCCAGAGGACTTGGTAGGCAATCTAATACAGTTGATATCTGAATCATCACAGCTTCATGTGTACACTACCCAACAATTGTGGAAGAATTTGGGTAACGAATTAGCCAGTTTTCAGCCGCTTGTACAGGTTGCAACCTGGTGTATTGGAGAATTTGGGGATCTGCTGAACTCTGCTGAAGGTGTTGATGCTGAACCATTAAATGTAAGCTGAATTTGAGATTAGGAGATATCAGTAACTAACCAGCGTTGTTATCTTTGAGATTTTCATGAGCTATATGGAATGTGTGTTGTAGATGATCATCAATTACAAAATAAAATAATACAAGATATGGTGACAGTAGATGGGAATTTTGTCCTTAGTTATTGTCACTTTCTTAATTTTAAAATTTTTTACACAGATCTTGTATTAATGCAACTTTAAAGAACTACTATGAATATAAGTAAATCTTACTTAATATTTGATTTTTTAAAATCTTTGCACAGTAGTGACAAACAAAAATGAACCTTTCTGGTGGTTGGGGTTATAACTGGACAGTTGGATAGGTTAGATAAATTTTATTTACTTATAGTAAAATGCCTTATTATGCAAATGAAATTGCATTTACTCTGGAATACAACAAAAACATGATTGTTTAAACCTTTCATTATAACAGTCAGCACTTAATGCTATGCATTCTGTAAAAGCTTTAAAGCAGGCTTTAAGTCATATTTAGTGTACCTGCAAGTGAAAGTTTATCATTGCTGATATTTTACTATGATAACGTACTTATGTTACAGGTAGCAGAAGAACACATTTTTGGCCTGTACGAAAAGATTTTGTACAACCACCATATGACTCTCCTTACAAAAGAATATACTATCAACTCTCTAATGAAACTGAGTGTACGGTTTCCCAAAAGTATTTCGTAAGTAAAGCAGTTTGATCTTTGAGAATTATAAGCTAGAAAGGTAACCATGTTCGCGTGTTTGAAACAAATAGTATTTTCTTTTCATGGTATATGATTCACAGTTTAATTTTAATTATACTACATTTTAAGGTATGCTTAAGGATTATCATTTTGTTTTTTATCCGAAATATATTTTTAAGAACTTGAGTGAAAGTAAAGATAAATGTAATATATCAACCACACTATATCTGCTATATCCAGTACCCACAAAAACTTTCACCTAATATATGGGCTCATCAGGCTGGATGTGATACAAAAGACGTAGTAGTGATTGATACGTCATTGTATCATAAAGTACCAGATTAAGGTCGTGAACTGTAATTATTATGAATTATATTTAAGTTATTACATGCAAGAGTGAGGTTTATGGTTTTTATTAATATCAAATTATTTATTTAACACCCAATTGTTTATTATTACTTTTAATTATTAAATTTGAATCATGTTAATAGAGTAGTATATAGTATTCAGTTTAAATTGACAGACAACACAGGTTTCAATCAATCTAGTTTTGCCACAGCAATTTTGTAAAAGGGTTAGTAAAGGCTTTTTTTTTTGGCATTTTGTACATGATATGCTATAATATTATCTGTTTAAGTTATTATTTGTCATTGTATTCAAGTATGACCTTATGTTTATAATTCAATACTGATCTTTACAGGAAAGTAAAAAACATGGTAGATGTGTTTGGCTCCAACATGAACATAGAGCTACAGCAAAGAGCAGTAGAATTCTCCAGTGTGTTCTCAAAGCATGATTATCTCAGGTTGGTTAGAAACAGGCTTAATATTACCATAAAAAATATTCATTAAGATTTTGTATTATCAGTAAAAAGTGAATGTGCATGTTATTGAAATTGTTGATATCTGTATAAAGTACTTAAAATATTATCACAGATTTTGTGCAGTCATTATAGTTGAAAAACCACAAGAAGTGTACAAAGTCTAAATTATGTAAAGTTAACCCTGTTAATTAATGGATTTATCAATGATTAATAGAAAACTAAGCAGAGCCATGTAAGATTTGGTTAAATAATAGACTTCTGTTTTGAAGGTAATTATTTTTTTTATTGAAGATGTAGCAAAAACCTTTTGATTTGTATAAGTTTAATTTGATATTGTCAAACATTTATTAAGTGTATGTATGTATATTACTTTAAAAAACAACTTTCTCTGACAGTATCAACACTTTGACTTTATTTCGATAGGCACAAAACAAAAAATTAAGTTGGTAAAAGCTTATCATTAATTAAAATTGTTTATTAAAATATAATGAATAATCTTCACTTCTTATTTCAAATTTGACAGACTTACCCTTGTGGTTAACATGTATAACTTATAAATCTAAGTGTCCATCTTTTATGTCCCGTTGACACAGAATTGAGCTCCACACCTAGGGGTTGAGAGTGCATTATAAGAGTGATGGTCAAATCCCACTATTTGGTTAGTGTAGCCTAAGAGTTGGAAGTGAGTGTTGTTGATTACCAGTTTTTTTTCTAGTGTACTAGAGCAAAAGTAGGGATATCTAGTACAGATAGACTTTAGGGAGCTTTGTGCAAATATCTGAAATGAAAACTTCAAACTCACTTAAAATTTTTTATTAATAATGTTTTTTTTTCTCGTTTTTTTTTGTTATAGTCTCCTTACTTTTTTTTTTTTTTTTTACTGAATTCACTTTATGTGAATAACATTTTTTGCAGTTAGAAATTAAAGTTCAATAAGAGTTCAAAGTTTAAATAAAAATAGTCATTAATTTTATGTGGAAATTGTCAAAGGATGAAAATTGACGAGTGTCTTACTAAACAAAAATTGAGATGTGTATTTAAAAGCGTGAGGGATTGTATTTTTATTTTGTGTTGCTCTTATGCCAAGCATTCAGTTGTGAGCTGTAATGTTAAGGCTGGAATATTGAAATAGTGACAAGAACAAATGATCAAATTAGGCTCACAGTAAGCTTGAGTAT